ACTGGTAGGGCTTTTTTCTGTGTTTTCCACTACATGTAGAGCTACTATCACTTAAATATAAATGACTGTAACTAGACAGACATCACATTTCCGGCGTCATCACGACAAAATCCATTCAAACGAGGCTTTTCCATCATCTTGTGGCTATTATTGGGCAACAAAAAGCCCGATAATATGTGATTAAAAACGGCTAACTTCTGTCTTTTAAAGGGTTTACATTGTTGAGCGTCTAGCTTTGGTCATCAGTTTTGAGGACAGACCAAATTCCCTGATTCGTTCCTTATGTGGATCTTTACAAATAACACAGAACTAAACATCTGTATGGAACCCAGTTAAAGTCCGGCCCCAGTTGCCCCCCCACCGGCTTATCGCCCCTCCTCTTTGTTTTGCTGGTGAACTTCCTCCTCGTAAATCTGGTCGTCTTGTTCTAACATGCACAGGTTTGAGTCTCTTGCCACAGGCTATTCCCCCCCCATTCCTTTACCTAAACCTGTCCTTTGCTTTTCTCTTCCATCACTCTGGCTTCGTCATGTGATTCTTTGCCCTGATTCAAGACGACATCTAATGAAATGAAAAAAGATTTGAAGTGGGAAAAGAGAAAAAAAAAAAGGTTATATTCCCTTTGTGTCTTTTTCCTGTGTCTCCTGGACTGGAATTAATACCCGGACTCAGAGTTTGTTCTGGTATGCTGTCAATCATCAACTGGTCTCCTTCTACCCGGAGAACGACTCTGAAACTGAATTTACGTTTGCAATGATCCGCTTGTAGGCCTTCTTACTCATAGTGTACAATGCTGAATCCTTTTCAACGGGCTCTCTGTTGAATGGACGTAAAAGGGTCGTTCTCTTTTGGCTTTGAATGTCTTGTTGTCAAACGTTGTATCCGGATACGATACTCATTTAATTATTATTTACATTGTTTATGATCATTAACGTGACGTTAGCCTTGAATTGCTAGCTGCGGCCAATGGCTAATAACAACACGCTAACATTAATCAAGTCTGCAGGAAGCCAAGGATGGATATCCAACTCCCCCACATCCAAGTCGGCCATTTTGATTAGGTCACCAATAGGAAGATCCCAGGCAAGAAAATCCTAATTGCTTCATGGCAATATAGACATTAATTTAAAAATTGTGAAATGAATCTTAAAAAAAACAGTGAATTAAACTCTATCCATAATATTATGTTAAAATAGTGGATGTTAAATAGGTTTGTACAATAAGTCCAAACAAGTTTAACCAAAAAATATTTATTTCTCACGATTATGAAGGCTGGAGGGTTAGGGTCAGGGTTAGGATCAGGGTTAGGGGTAGGATCAGGATCAGGGTTAGGGTTAGGGTTAGGCTTAGGGTCAGGGTTAGGGTTAAGTTTATGGTTAGGGTCAGGGTCAGGTTTAGGGTCAGAGTTAGGGTCAGGGTCAGGGTTAGGCTTAGGGTCAGGGTTAGGGTTAAGTTTATGGTTAGGGTCAGGGTTAGGGTTAGGGTCATTAATGTGGGCCACCATAACATCAGTAACAGGTCAGTTTGAAACCAAAGACACTAACCTGTCAAATTTCAGTTACATTTTGGGGTCTTTGTTTTTATCCTTGTGGAATCTAAAATGGTATCGAGTATCAAATATTTTCCTGAGTATCGGTATGGATGGAGTTGAACATTTTAGTATCGTGACAACCTTATTTGAATGATCGTGTGTTTACGAGTGAAGCTGACAGGCGATAGAGATGGAGGCAGAAATCCGACCCAGAGCCGGTTTATGCCTCAGACCCGTTCACCCAGGAGGAGCTCTGCTCAAAGACTAATGGGTATCGATCCGGAAGATGGCGGCCCGATCACGGAGCTCTTTGGGTTATGGGTTTCCTCCGGGCTGGAATCTGCCCGCTCAGACGCAGAGCAGATGCTGTACGAAGCACATTTCCTCTAAAGTTAAATGTAAATCCAGGAGATGGTCGGAGAGCAGTTCAGCTGAGTCAGAACATAAAGAGAAACACGCACGTGGAAGTTGATATTAGATCCCGAACATCCCACTAGCAGAAACAGGTAGATGTTATTATTATTAACCCAATGAAGCCATATGGATCATATTTGATAGATTTGGTTTCTGAAATCTTTTGCATCATTTAATGGTAAAAACTTTGCTCAAACCCTTTAGTAAACAATCAGATACAGTGGGGTA